ATGTTTCAGAAGTATGTTATTTATATCGATGTTTCAAAAGTAGATCGGGATGTTACACATGTTGCAATGGCTATACATGTATGTTTCGAGTGTATGTTTCAAATATTTCATCTGTTTCAGACGTATGTTGCAAATGTTTCACACCAAATCTATTGTTTCATGCCATGCACACCCTGCCGAAGATACCATGTCATATATATATATGAAAAGGATGTCATAATAAGCCTCAAAATATGTTGTAGGTTAATAGTATAGCATGGTGCTGTTTTTTCGAATTACAATATAGTGGTGTGGTGGGTTTTCACCGGGAGAGATCTTCTATTGGGCTGGCGACCGTTAGATTGGCTATGGTCTGTGTCGTCGACGCAGCTGCGACGCGCCACGAATGCATGCTTGTGGCTAGCTCACATCCATTGTGGCCTGCGTGGGTATACTTGTCGATTTTATTAGAAGCTTGAGAGATGGCAATGTGCGACGGCATTATTAGCGACACTCCGCAAGAACAAGATGTGGATTTGCGTGGTGGATGGTTCCATGAGGATGGAGGAGGTGGACATTGCAAACTGGTGGGGTGGTGATACACATATACCCGTGACCTCGTCGATTCCACAACGAGCTCCTACCAACAGTGGCTTTATATGCCGTTGTTGTCTTAGCGGCTTGTCTCGCGTGGTAATGGCAAGTTTAGTGTAGGAGGATTCACAGTGGAAAACCTCCTCCACTTTTCCTAGTTTACAAACGTGTTTCCTGAGCGTGCAAGGCGGCGTTTGGAAGGCGTTACTTTGGTGGTTTCATCAGTAGTGTTGTGTGTTTCTTTGTAGTTTCTCTATTAATATATATATGCTCAGAATGCTCTTGTTGATGGGTTTTGGAGAAACAAATAAACAACAACTAATTCACTGGACGTATACCAGCAACACATGTGAGGGGGATCGGATTAGATGCCATCATTCATCATCTTGGATTGAGTTTTCAGTATTCCCCGGCCAGTCTGTTGGAGCCTGCTGCCAAAGCTAAGTGCATGTCACGGAAAGTATTGCCTGCCGCCGCTGCCGGCCGGCCTGCCTTTTTCGATATGATCTTCCCTGTTGCCGCAGCTATATATCTAGGAAGTACCTAGCTAGCTGGCTGGTACGCACACGCCTTCAATCCACACCGCCATTGCCAGCTCCAGGACCGAAGAAAGGTAACAAAACATGCACGCACACGAAAATGTACATGCACGTACCTAATAACCAGCAACGAGATGCCACATGCATGTGGAAAAGAAATTAATTAAACAAAAGCTGGTGATACAATACTCCAACGACCTAAAAAGAGAGTTAACTTCAATTGTTAGATTTAGTTCAAAAATACTATCTAGCTATGAATCTAGACAATAGCTAAAGTGTCAACTATTTTTAGGGGAGGGAATAAACGGTAGTATACTAGTCTTTTCTGGTTGAGTCAGATCTAAGGCTTGGTTTGTTGTGGGCTTCGTGGACTTAGGTACGAGGAGACACAGACTTATGTGTAGCGAGATGGGTCGGATTCGTCACGTATTCTAACATCAATCTATCAACAATCTCCACCATCTAATCTTCATCCGACGGTCCATGGATCTCACTGTTCCTCCTGTTTCAAATGATGCTTTTTTTTGTTATTTCTTACTATACACCACTTCTCTCTGCCCTCCTATTTTCGGTCAACCTAATCATCTTGTTTTGATTTCCTCTCACCCTTGACATGATCGACACAACCACCTGTCTCCTCCACCATCCGTGGCCAGCGACACCATGCCTTCTTCATCTAGCCACTTCGCCCGCCTTCTTGGAGATCTTCGAAGCCAGGGAGCATACTATAGCTCTGACAAAACCCCTTTCAAATGACCCAAAGAGATCTCATTGGCGGCAGTCAAAGCTCGTCCACCGAAAATGTCTTTGTTTTAAGTCAATTGAAAAATAGGACATGTGGAAAAAACCACAAAGGGTTGATTTATTCATAGGATAGGATAGGGTGATTGTTGACCGATCCAGTTTAATGCTATAATAGAATTATTTTGCTAGTACTACTATTATCTCAGGGTGTCGTTTGGTTCTCAAGCAAATTAAGGAGTTGGTAGACGTGTACATACATCAGAGCAGAAGCTAATAATTTTGGTTGCACACGGTGAAATCCGGCCACTTCAATTCTTTGAGAGTAACCTAGGGCTTATAGTAAACTCTCCCTAGTTTAAGTAGTTACCTCTATCTCTCAGAGATATGTTGATTGTTGTTTCCTTGTACCAAGATTTTGAAAAAGTCTTTTGAACTATATTGTGACCACCACAAAATATGTCATCATCAGTTGATACAAATTGATAGCCCTTGTATTGAATAGCAATGTCAAATTTGAATATTTCAATACGACTTTTTCATATTGGCACAATGTGAATAATTTTGACTAATTGTTGATCACAATAAGTTAACCCTATCAAGTTTGGCTTTTCGGAATCCTAATACACCTTATATTTGAGAGGGGGGTAGTGCTTAATTAATATACTAGTTGAAGTTTAGGCATGGCCCTTTAATTATTATAATTAATAATATACTTTTTTTGCGGATTAACAATAATAATTTACTTGGTTTTGAAGGAACCAAGAACAAAACCAAGAGACATGTATATATGCTCATGGAGTCATGGATGGATGCATGCATCACTAGGCTACACTACACATATGTAATACCAGCGGCCAGTGTCGGCCCTAGGGGTAGGGCACGAGGTGCGATGGCCGAGGGCCCAAGCGGAGGAGGGACCCAAGCTCAGGTATACAAATCCGTAGGTCATATAGTCCATTAGACATTAGCAAACTAATGAGAAGAGAGACATAGAATTGGTCAGGCGGCACAAAAAACAACATCAGCATTTCTTTCCTAGTTTACTTTCCCCACGACCCTCGAGTAGATTGGAGGCGAGGAGTCACGCTGTACACAGCACACTCTGATCGTGAGTTTGCGACATGCGCCTTACACACGCGGAGCTGGCGAGCCGCACCGTCGCGAAGAGATAGACTACCAGAGACACGGGACATCACGCACGAGGACGGCGACCAGGCAGGGCTCCACGACGATGATATCTTGATTCTCGGCTTCTTACGAATTGCGATCACCGATCAGTTGTTTAGGCCCAAGCTATTTTTTTCCTTTTTATTTTTAATTCAAATTAATTATTTGTATAGTATTTCAGACTTCTAGTACTTTGTACCCATATAGTCATATTTTTCTTCTAATTTAGGTATTAGAATTTTAGAATGTTACCTAAGAAACATTTGTCATGGGTGAGAAAAAAAACGAATATATTGCTTTTTTAATCTACATTGTTTCTCGATAATTATCATACATTTACAAATATATTGCTTAATCTACATTATTCCTCGATAATTATCAGACATATTAAATTAAAAATATGTTATTAAATTTGTTTTCTTTTTACAAGTAAAATTAGTGTCTATATATTATAAGATTTTATACATGATCAAGAGGGACCGGTATGCATTCGTAGCAGCTATAGCTTCCAATTGTCTTTCTTGGTTGCAATTGCAACCCTAGCTGTGTTGTATGTGATGTGAACATAATTCTTGTGCTCTGGCAGGGTGTGGCTGGAACTGGAATAGGAATGGCTGGCAACTTTGCGCACTTCACCATCCACTGCCACCGTACCTTTATTAATGCCGCAAGCTAAGCGAGCTCAAAAGGAAACGTACACCACTTGAAACAACAAAGCTCTTCATAAAAGCTACTCGCTATTTTAGCACCCCAAACGGCAGCTGCTGATTCACTCGCACCAATCAAAGTGCAAACACCCAAAAAAAATTAAAACCTTTTTTTTTGCTTTGGAAAAAAACGCATGCATGTTGTATTTATCGCCTATATATCTTCACCAACAATTAATGGATCATCTAATTAATCCAAGGGTAATATATAACAGTTTTCTTTCTATCTAAAATGCTACTGATTATTATTGTTCACCTAAAGTAACTTCGACCGATGACATATATACTTTTTATACCACTTATTCTATATTTTAGGTGCCTGACTTTTTTGCTGTTGTTCAAACAACATGTAATATTCTCATTGTTTGACTATAGAAAAAAAACTATAGCTTACTTTTTGTGAGTCGTTCTTTTAATTATACTAGTTGGTTGTCTAAAATTGTTGTCTGAAAATTCAGGCACCTGAAACCTAGCAAATATCTTTTTTTGTACATAGGCATATATACAAAGGCCACATACATATGTATGTGTATTATGAATTATATTATATATATTTTGGCACCGAAAAGTACAGATCCAGGACATGCGAAAAAGGTGGATATGATAGTAGCAGGCCACAACATTGCACCCACTCCTGCCCCCTCCTCCCCTCAATTTCAAGTTGGGAGAACAGTGGTGGCATGGCATTGTCACCACCCTTTGCTTTCATCACATTTCAGGCAACACCCACCACTCACTGCTCACTACTCTCTACTCTACTCACTCCCACACACGCACACTCACTACTCCAATGCAAGTGGCTGCCAAACTTTTTTCTTTCAAAGCAAATGGAACAATAATCTCAATATATATGTATATATATTTGACAATTAATCTCTTCCATCTCCAGTAGTACAGTATATATGTAAATGTTAGTTGCTACATACATACATACAGTACATATATATATGGTGGTTTTTGTTACACCAAAGAATTGAAAGAATCAATTTTGTATATATGTTACAGCTTCATTGATATACATATTTATATATATCCCAATATATATATATATAATATAATAATAAAATTTTAAGTATAATTGAGGATGCATGGTAGACTTATGATCCCCAAGGAGGAGAAGAAGAAATTAAAGAGAAAGAGATCAATCAGTGTTTGTTAATAAGAAAAAGAATTCTTCAGGCTGGCTCTGGCTGGCTGCTAGCTAGGCCAGGCATGCAGATGCAGGGCCGGCGGCGGTGCTCATGTCGTCAATAATGGCAATCCACCAGTGCTAGGCTGTCAGCATGAGCCCAGCCTTGTTGCCGTCGTTGAACTGGCCGAGACCGAGCATGACGGCCGCCTGTGGCGGCGGTGGCGGAAGAAGCGACACAACGGCGGCTTCCTCGTCGGACGGCGCCGGCAGGTTGAGGTCCAGCTCCAGGTTGATGCCCGCGCTGGCGCTGCCTTCCTTCTTGATGTTACTGGTGGTGTCCGGGGCGACGGTCGCCGTGGTGACCGCGCGGTCTGGCGCGTTGAGCGGGCGGTGGCGCCGCATGTGGCCGCCCAGCGCCTGCCCCGACGCGAACTCGGCGCCGCATATGGAGCACTCGTGCACCCTCAGCTTGCCGCTCGCGGCAGCAGCGGCGACGCTGCTGAGGCTGAGCGCGGTGGTGACGGTGACGTCCGGGAAGGCGGCGGCTGTGGCTTTGGCGATGTCGATCGCCGCCTTCTGGAGAGGACGCGGCTGAGGCTGACGCTGAACAGCTAGGGGAGGTGGGGACGGAGACACGGTCGTCGTCGTCGTCGCCATCACCATCGGTGGTGGCGCCTTCGTTGCTGTGGTGGTGGTGGTGCCGTCGACGTTAACCGCGGCGGCGATGTCGCCATCGGCGGTGGCGGCGAGGCGCGGCTTCTTGTGGCTGGCGCGGTGGCCGCCGAGCGCCTGGAAGGTGGGGTAGCACTTGTTGCAGGTCTTGCACTCGTAGACGTAGAAGCCGGCCCTGACGCCGTCCGGCGTGGCGGCCGCCTCCGTGTACTTGCGGCTGGAGTACCTCTCGGCCCTCGGCGGCGCTGGCGGGGGCGGCGCCTGGTTCTGGTGTGGTGCCGTGGGCGTGGACGACAGCAGCACCGCCGGCGATGACGACGGCGATGGCTTGGAGTCGACGACGGAGGAGCCCGCGGCGCCCTGGGCGAGGAGGATGAGGCAGTGCGCCATGTCCTCCTCCTCGGTGGTGGTGCTCTCGGACGATGACACGGACGCGGAGGCGGAGGAGGAGGCCGCGGCGGACGGGTGGTGGCGCGGCCTCTTGGTGCGCTGCTTGCGCTTGACGGCGGCGGCGAGGGGCTGGTGGCCGTGGTTGTCGTCCACCTGCACCACCAGGTCGTCGGTGGAGTGGTCGTCCGTGGAGGACGAGGTCGGCGGCGTCGTCGTCGTCATGAGAAGGGTGATCGCCGCCGTCTTGGTGTTGGTGGTGGTCTTCTTCCTTTGGGCCACCAGCTCCGACGATGTTTGCATGCCGGGGAAGCAAGAAAGGTAGAGAGAGGTGGGGTGGGGAAGCAAGAAAGGCTCCTGCCTCTAGGAGTAGGAGAGTAGGACACTGAGGACTAGGAAGAGGAGGAGAGCCTGCCGTTTTATTGGAAAGGGAAGAGAAGAAGGGAGGGCTTTTTGCTTTTGCATGGGATTGGAAATGGAGAATGGGAATGAGATCCACTGTACATACCACTAGTACAACAACACTGCTAGTAGCTGCAGATGCAATCAATGGAAAGGATGGAAGTTTCCTTTGGTTTATTAATACAAATACACCACCATCAAGCAAGCTGCTAGCTAGGCTGCTAGAGAGCGAAAACTAGAGAGAGAGAGAGAGAGTACTCTGGCCGGCTTTCAATTCCCTCTCTCTCTGCCTGTCTCTCCTGGATGCCTTGCCTTGCCTTGCCAACTCTCTTTCTCTGTCTCTTATAGCCTCTTCCTTGTTGTAGAGAGAGAGAGAGACTAAGAGAGGTTTATTTGGTGGTTAATTACTACTAGCACTATTGTTAGAGAGAGAGAGGGGGGGGGGGTGCATTCAGCAATAGTAATAGTGAATTGGTGGCCAAGGAAGACGCACGTACGCTACCAATTAAGTGTGATTGAGAAAACTAGAGGTGTGTTAAACCTGGCTGCCTAGTATAACTTGTGGACAGTTTAATGGCCATGCGTCTCCTAATTCCTCCCCTGCCTCCTGCCTAAATGTGTAAAACATGCATGCATGTGTTTTTGCTACTTACTCCTAGATGGATAGCTTGTATTGGTCCAACAGCTACTAGCAGCTAACCTTAATTAAGCCACCAGCAGGACATGCATCTCTCCCCAATTTCTAGCCACTAATTAGTAGTACTAGTGGTATATATAGCCTTAATTTCATATTTTAGTGTGGGGGCTAGGATTAATGCTGTGACAGTGAGCACTCCATTAATTAGTTAATCTGAAGGGGCATCTATCACCACTATAGCTGAATAATGAATGAAGAAATTATTCCCAAAAAAAAAAATGAATGAAGAAATAAATTGAAGAAGAGTTATTGTTTGTGTTAATTTGGATTGCTTGTTTCTACTCCAATTTGCATTGGTACATATGCAGGTGTGGGTGTGAGAAGAGAAAGGGATCTAAGCAGGAGTGGGGAGTGAGTAATACTATAGCATTCAGCATTTCAGCAGCTAGCCAGGAAAGAAAGCAAGGTGTCCAACTCCATGTCCATGCAAATATTTTCTTTTGTGATGATGAATGATTCCTTTCCTGGTGTGATAGTGTCACCCTGCAAGGCTGGAGCCACAGGAAAAATGCTCTCTCATCTCATCGCATCTCCCTGGTATTTTGTCACATATATGCTCCTTTATTGGCGGTTCAGTTATTTCCAGAAATAAAAAAAACTAAATAACACCACCTGGTAATAATATGTATATACTACTAGCTAGGAACATCTTAACCAATACAGTTGTCTTTGTTGTAATTAGCATGCAATTCCCCATTATTAATAATTAATTAAAAGCCTTTTCTTCTTCCTTTTGTGAGCTGATTATTATTGATGCTGATGAACAGCAAGCTTGCTTGGCAGTTGGCAACTAATACTAGTAGCTAACTAAAGAGGTAGTGAGGCAGTGGTGGTGCAGGTGTCCCTGCCTAGTGCTAGTGGTGGCTGCTGGCCTCTGGCAGTACTAGCAGGCCAGCCACACAAAAATAATGCCTGCACTGCAATTTGCTTGCTTGTTCACTCACTCACCTCTATCTCATCAGCAGCAACGCAACTCCAACTCATCTGAACCTGCAACCAATGCAAACGTTTTGTTCAGTTCAGATCGCCTGTCCTTTGCACTGCAGCTGCAGCTGCACTGACTTGCATTGCATCGCCTAATCCTAGCTAATAACAGTCACTTGCTTTCTAAGCTAAGCCAACCAAAATCCACCCCTACCATCCCAGTGCATGCATTTCATTCAGTTCGTGCAGCAGTGCCACTTCCATCTTTTTCTCTCTCCAAACGTTCGTTGCTGATCGATGCTAATTAATAATTGTTAGTTAGTGGTTGCATTTTTATTTTTATTTTTATTTTAAATTCGGCCTTTATATTTTACAAAAATCAGGCGGACTTTCTTGTGTTTGGTGAGCTTTATATATATGCAGTAGATAGATAGCTGCTGTGGCTACACTGTCTCAATCATTTGATTAAGAGCGAGATATATTGGGTCACACTCACAACTATCAACCACTGCTCTCATAACTGCGTCAAAATGTCCAACTAGTAAAAAATTTGTACCTGTTAGTAAATTTTTTTGAGGAATTAATGGAATTATTGTTCATTATTTATCGTCCAATCTCAGTCGTAGTAGTTGATGCGATCTTTGCATGAAGAAATTAATCATTTTTTTTGAAGAAAATGAATTAATTAAAATGGCATATATGTAAGAATAAGCATTCTCTGCAAAGAGGGAACTTATGAAATCCTTGCATGTATCTATGTGTGGTGACTTGTGAGTTGTGACTAGCTTAACTGTGTGAGGGAGAAGTCAACGGTTACATGAATATGAAGAGAAATGGGAAGGTAGGAGGACGCATGATTCTTGACGTGAGGATCAATGGGAATTGTTATATATTTGCATTGCTGTGTGGGGGCAAGGGCAATACATCCTAATTAAGGTAGCTAGTTTATTTAGAATAGAAAAATAAAATTCAACAAACAACAGTAGTGATTGGATATGATGCCATACATGGCCGGCGAGGTGGGGGCAAGCAAGTAAGGCATCCATCCAACCATCCATCACATGGAAAGGAAAGCTATAGCTGCCCTTGCTAAGTTGCATGCCACTTAATCATCTCTGCTACACCCTACTAGTATAACCTTAGCTAGATCTTCTCTCACTCAAATGGCCAAACATGCACACACATGATACATGTACACTCACTTGCACTGCAATAATAATCCAAATCTATTATCTAGCTAGTGTGTACATGCCTTTCCTTGCCAAAACTAAATAAAAAAAGGGTGAGTGTCCTTGCATTGAGCTAGCTAGCTTGCCATGATCCTGCCTATGATTGGCAATCAGCCGAGTTGTTGTCCCTCATGTGGAGAACCCTAGCTTTAAGGATCCTATTATTATTATTATATATATGATTATCTGCTAGCTAGCTAGTGCATCCGATCCATCTCTCCTAGCAGCCAGAACATGCATATGCTGATAATGCAATGCACTCTTATTGCTTTGTATGAGTGTGATCAGTGTATGCTAGATTCATTATGAACCCAAAAAGTAAACTAATAAAAATAGATACGAGTTTAAGAATAAGAAATGTTTTTATTTGTGCTACAATCAACCCGATCCTCCCTCCAGTAGGCCACCAGTACTAAACCAAGTACATGCATGCACACGGCACCATCTCTCAGCTCCACATTATTATTATTATTTAAAAAAAAAAAAAAAAACTGTATGATGTCATTGCCTTATCAGTCGAGTTATCTTTCTTACCCATGGCATCAGGCCATATGGATATAGATGGAGTTGAAAGTGTGTGCAGTGTGCTACTCCACTCAACAAGATAGCTTTAACAGCAGCCAACATCTGGCCAACCGCCCCTCGGTTTGCAAACTTTCCTCAGTAGTAGCTTATTAAGTTAATTAGATGCAGAAACCTTATGTGCATGCTAGCACATAGCTAGCCAGCTACATACACATCTTACTCTTAGAAATTCTCAAGAGACGTGCTAGGAAAAAAAGATAAGTCCTAGAAATTCTCATAATAATTAGAAACATATCGCATTTAATTTGGTAGACTCTCACCATCATAACCAACAATAGCCATTGGACCACTTTTGTTTCTAAAAAAAAATTACCACCATTGTCATTGTGAAAAAAAACATATTTAGTTAAAAAACATTTTTTGACTAAATTCAGACAGATGGAACGAATTTGACGTATCGCAGTCTGTTCTGATCTCTTTACTGGAGAAAAGAAAAGGAGAACAAATTTAGGAAGCAATTGGCAGATGAATTAAGCTCCAACTTTGTAATATATGCAACAGGATTTACATGAGTTGGCAGATTGGATTATTGATTGGTGTTGGGAGAGAACATGTGGCGCAGTTGAAGGACACCAACCGTACCCCAGCCCACCTGCATCTGACTATTTTTCTGCATACAAGTGGATCGAAGTGGTGGCCTGCATTTGATTTTCTACATATCATCATCCAACTCTAACTGAATTAGTGGGACACTCGATCACTGCTAGCTCTCATATATAGTCTGCAGGGAGATCAGCACTCACAGTCTAGTTTAGTGAGTGGGCCACCACTCCTCAACTCAAATCATACTCTTACCAAATTAATTATATTTTCTCTTTATTACAAAATATAAATCCAACCGACCAGAATTGTTGTTTGCCTGGCGCTTTTAACTTTCACCATCATCATCATCTAGACATTCATGCAGATTTATACCACAACATTGGTATTACTACTAGATTATTCATGATGAAAAACAAATATATTAAAAAAACGCTTGCCTGGGCATGTATTTCATTAAGAGGAAAATATGACATTGTACAGATTAGTCGTGTTCATGTATAATGTTCTAATAGACTTGAAGAAGATTAGGTAGCTAGGAGAGACCAGGACGAGGGAAACAGAGCCGGGAGAGGAGATTGACTTGGCATGCATGATCACATCGTTCAGAGTACAGCAACTGAACAGCAAGTGTGCATGTTGTGCTTGCTCCAATGCAAGGTTAAGGAATAAGATTTGGAGCTAGCAGGGTAGCTAGCAATGCTAGCTGCGTGGATGCATCTCGCTGTCATGCTTAGAGATGAGCGTTAATCACGATGCCCCAACTAACTGACAGACAGACAGACATGTCCTCCAAACGAAGCATCGGCAAGCCGAGTAGTACTCAGTATGCAAGCGACACTTGTGCACAGCATATATGTAGCTAAGAATATTAAAGCCTTGTTGTGAGAGGTTATGCCTGCCTTGTTGCTGATGAATGGACTTCA